GGAAGGAAGGAAGGAAGGAAGGAAGGAAGGAAGGAAGGAAGGAAGCATTTGCCTCAACATTATTAGAGAGTGTGGAATGAAGTATGAGTAGGGATTCAATGAAAAGGACAGATGGCTGTTGGTGTACCTTAACCTATTCTTTCTATTTTTCTATATATTTAAATTTGTGATGATTTTCAAAGTAACAAAATATTAAGGTGCTTTTTGACTGCATAAAATACAAATGTCTGATTAATCTGATAAGATAAAGCCCTTGAGGGTAGAGACACTCACTAATTTATTTTCATCCTGAAGTATTCAGAGTGGTGGGTATAATGACTACACAAATTCTGATGACTGCAGGAACAATTGAGTAGATGGGTAAGGAAATTCGTTGTAACAGGTAGTAAAGAGACAAAAGAGGAACTTGAATATATGGTAAGATTTTGAGATGGAGGAAAGCGTTAAGATGGATGTGCACCATACTTAACCGACTTAGTCTTTTGAGTCAAGCCTCCCATGCACAGCCCCCTTGGTCCTTACCTTTGTAAGAAATGACCGGGTGCTCAGCTCTCTGGCAATGAGCAGCATCCTGGGCCTCTGGCTGTACGAGTCTCCATAGCCCCAGGCTTGAGAATAGCCATGTGATGATGCAGGCTCCCCTCATGGTGGACAAGGGGTCTCTGATGCTGGGTGCTCCTGGTTTAAGAAGCTCGTCTTCTCCTCATGTGTGAAAAGTACCTAAAACACACAGAGGAACAATGACCAATCCAGTTTCATGGTGGGTAGAGCTCTAGGAAACTCCCACCACTAACTTCCAAGTCACACATAATTTGTAGAGATAAAAAGACTGTGGAGAGAATAAGCACCAATGGCTCATGCCTGTAACCTTCCCTACTCAGGAGGCTGAGATCTGAGGACTGTAGTTTGAAGCCAGCTGTGGCAGGCAAGTCCAAGTGATTTTTTATCACCAAGTACCCAAAAATGCTGTAAGCAGAGCTGTGACTCAAGTGGTAGAGCAACAGCCATTTAGAGACAGGCCCCAGGACCAGGGTTTCTAAACAAACAAACAAACAAACAAAAAATCTGTAAGTATGTAGAAAGAACACAATTTATTCCTAGGTGATATGCAGATGTGTGTGTGCAGATGTGTGTGCATAGGTGTGTACCTACACACCTATGCACAGACTTTTCTGTTCTAATTCTGGAGTAATTCAAATTTAAGCTCTCCTGAGTCTCCATGTTACTCCTAAATAAAACCATTCAATAGCTGTGATCACTGACAGACTTCTCCTTGGATGTGCACCACACCCCATAGCCTATACAAGGGAGAGAACTATATGTACAAAAATTACAGGCATCCAGAAAATTCAAACTATAACCATGGTACGTCACCAATAATCTGATTAGGATTAGATAGCCCATATAAATTGCCCTATTTGACTATTTGGTGTATATATTGCATAAAAATTTAGAGATGACATACTTGCAAATTTTCTGGCTACAGATTACATATTAAGCATATAGAATCTACAAGGCATACTACTGGGTAAAAATCAGGTACTATGTTGGAGCTAGGAGACTGTCAAGATCATAAAAAATTTAAAAGATTAAAAACTGCTCAAGAAAGGTAGGCTTATAAAAATAACGATAACCTTACAGAGAAGCCAGAGTGCTGTGGGAGTTGAGGGAGAGTAGCCCTGCCCTTTAGAGGGGTCACGGAGAGTCCCATGAAGGAGTTCATATTTGAGTTTAATACTGAAGGATGAAATGTATTTCAACAGATGAGGATTTCTGGAAGGTCAATCCATTCCAGGGGGAGAGGAGGAGAAAGTAAAGGGAGGGAAGGATGAGAAGAAGGGCAGGTCATAGGTTTGGGAAGGTTTTACTTTATTTGAGGCAGAGCTCAGGAAGTATGAAGGGGGGGAGGACGAGCTTAGATAAGAGGTAAAGTATGGGAAGGCGAACTATCCTAAAGTAAGAAGTCAGTACTTTAGATAAGAAATCACCATAGTGTACTCACGTTAGAAGAAAAATGAAAGAGGTATTGTTAGTGTAACAATGCATACAGGAAAGAAACAGGGAAGAGCATAGTGTGGGGTGTGAAGGTGAAGCCACTACAGTTGCTCAGAAAGTAAATTGAAGCTGTCACTTCAGATTTTTCTCCTAAGAGTGAATAGCAGACACAACGAACAGCCCATAAAATGCAAATCAAAACAACACCAGTTAGAATGGTTATAATAAAGAAATCTACACAGATGCTGGAGGGGATGTGGACAGAAGGGAACCCTACTGCATTGTTGGTAGGAGTGTAAACTTGTTCAACCACTTTGGAAAGTAGTATGGAGGTTCCTCAGAAGACTCCACATAGAGCTGCCCTATGACCCAGCAATCCCACTTTTGGGTATTTACCCGAATGATCACAAACAAGACCACACTAAAGCTACCAGCACAACTATATTTATTGCAGCATTGTTTACCATAGCTAAGATATGGAACCAACCCAAATGCCCCTTGGTAGATGAATGGATCAAGAAAATGTGTTATATATACACAATGGAATTCTATGCCTCCATCAGAAAGAATGACATTGCCCCATTTGTTAGGAAATGGAAAGACGTGGAAAAAATTATATTAAGTGAAGTAAGCCAGGCCCAAAGAAACATAGGTCCCATGGTTTCCCTTATTTGCAATAACTAGTATATGTCTGGGACAAGCAGAAAAGGTCAGATGAGTTGATGTTAGGTGAAATGAACCCCCAAATAAGGACTCAAATGGTTTTTCTTTCTTGAGATTGTTTCTAACATATTTATAAAATGATTTCTTTGTTTCTTTGTATGTCCCTTCCCCACGGTATAACCCCTGCTTTCACTGTATTTGATGTTGGTATAATTTGTGGAAGGGAAGGGAAAAAACAAATTGTTTAAATAGGGATACAGGTGGACCCATTGCAACAATGAGATGAACAAGACATGTCGAAAAAACGAACTTTACAATTTAGGTGCAGGGGAAGGAAGTGGTGGGGGTAATGTATCTGAGGAGGTGGGAGGGAAAAAACAAAGGAGGAGGCAACAATGCTGGATAAGAAATGTACTTATTACCTTGCTCATGTAACTGTAACCCCTTTGTACAGTATTTTCACAATAACAAACAATTAAAAAAACATCATAGGTAAAGCAAGTGTGCAGAGTTAAGGGCAGTTGGATATTCTCACATTTTCCCAACATAAAGGGAGAGCTAGGTCCATCCCTCAAATCAGGGTTGCTCAATCAATAACTTCTTGGCACAGTAACTCAATACAAGACAAGTGATGGCACTTGTTTCCAAATTCAGCCTCCACGGGAACGGGAGTTTACACTCTCTGTCCCTTAGAAAACCTTCTTCGGGACACCAAATCAGATCCAGCTAACCTGAGTCTGCCACACTAGAGAGACCACACTTAAGTGGCTCTGGCATCCAAGACCCACAGTGACCAGCTTCCCAGTCAGTCCAGCCAAGACAGCAAATATATATGTTTAGCATAATCTACTCTATGTTTTCGATAGTTATCACAGCGCCACAGGATGATCCAATTCTGTTGTGCCCAACTCCAGATCACAAAAATGTTAAATGTGATACAATGTAGCTCTCACCTGCTAGCTGTTGGAAACACACAGCAAAGAGACACTAACAGACTCAGGATGAACAGTGTTCTGTTTTGATAAGAATGTGATCACTGAGTCTTGCACGTGCCAGGTTTAAAATGCCAAATGGATATTTAGGAAACTTCAGTAAACTGTTGAAAAGCCAGGGTGGGCGCTCAGAAAACAAATGTCAAAGATAACTTAGAAAGCTGTGAATGGTTGAAATCATACATGTGGTTCATATCCACCTCAAGAAGCATAGGGAAAACAAAATTAAAAAGGTGTTTGCCAAAAGGCAGTCATCGAGGAAATATCTACACCAAGATGAGAGAAAAAGAAGTGAAGCAGAAGGATCAAGACCTGTAGCAATGGGGAGGCCGCATTAAGATGGACGATAAAAGTAGCACAATTAAAACAAAGATGGGTCACCACAGCCTGATGAAGCCAAGATCACAGGCTTCAGACAACAGACGGTCAGTGGTCAACTTGGAGGAAACAATTTCAGAGAAAATGAAGACAGAATCCATGTTGCACGTTACCAAGGAAAAAATGGAGAGAGGGCAGTGGAACAGAATATATGTGGTGGGCCCCTATCATGAAAGGGAAATTTTAGGATAGCTGGTATGGTCTGAATGTCCCTCCCAAAACTCATATTGATATATAACTGTACAAAATATAGGGTTGAATTTGGCCATGGGTGAGAGGAGCGAGCCTAAGCCAAAGTACAGCACATGCAAATATGAAATCACAATGAAAGTCTCTTCGACTATTAATGTATACTAATTAAATTTTTAAGAAACAAATGATAAGGGACATATTATTATGCACCAGTAAATCCAATAAATAAGACGTCTTATAGACCTACCTTCAACTGGAAACTTCCTTCTTTACATAAGCTCCCCAACTCCAATCCCAGCCCTACTTATTTGCCTCCAAGATAAAAGGAAGGAAATACAAATAATCGAAGTGTTTGAACCACTCTTTCCTTGGGATCTGGAAATGGACAATTACAGAAGAGAGACATGGCCTGGTGAATGAAAGGGCGGCTGAAATGGAACTGAGTCACCGGTGCCCAGCTGAAATGACAGGTTTCCCATGTTAAGCTGAGGAAGGAGCTTTTCATGAGGCCAGACAACTTTTAGAGGCTCATAATTTTCAGCCTGTAGCATGTTACCTTTTTCCTTAAAATAAAGGGACTATAAACAATCATCATGGGAAGGTAACACGGAAGGGCAGTGAGTCTTCATGTGGAGAACTGGGCTTTTCTGGGCATCTACCTTGCAAGGCCAACTCCTTTGAACAGGCTCTGCTCTAAATGACTGGTCCTTCATCCTCAACTCTGTAAATTCCATCTGTCACTAAATTGAGATAATGTTGGGGACACTGTGCTTCTAAATCAGGGTGTTAGATTTCAATCTCAGTTCTGGTGACATTTCAGAAAGGCAAGTGTTTCTTTTGGGGCCCTTTGATGCATTTAGCATCATCTCAGGCCTCTGCCCATTACATGGCAGTAATGTTTATTTGCTTTTTGCCCACTAAAAATGCTTCTGAGCAATGCCAAAATACTCTCGTGGAGAACCTCTGATTTATGGGTATCAAAATATCTCTCCCTTTTTAAAACCTAAACTACCGTCACATTGCAAGCTTATTCAAAATACATTTATATACATCATCCAACCAAATCTGTAATGAGTCAATTCAGCAAGATTTCAGCAAAAATAAATGAAATTCATGTTAATAATAACTATTTACTACATTTAAGAACTATATTAAAAGACAGTTCCAAAGAAGCAATGACACTAAAAATTTGTCAAGTGTCATTTCTCCACATTTAGGAAATCAAAAATAAATTCAGGAAGTTAGTATCAGTGATTTCTCTGGCATGAACATTTGTTACCGAAGGTCAATTTGGACTCACAATCAACCCTTTTGTGACATCTCCTTCAATATCCCTGAAGCTCTGGATTTCTGCTTCCTGATGTGGGAGGACGGCTCTGTAAGTTGGATCTAAATAAGCACAAGTCTGTATATAAGTGTTTGTGCAATAAATAACACTTCCTATTCACACCCACATTGCAACTGAATAGGCTTTGGGGATAGAAAATAACTGTTCTTTTTGGAAAATAAAAGTGCT